GACCCAAACTCCAGAAGTCTGTTGACTTCCTGAGATAGAGGAGAAAAATGACCCTCTATACCCTCTGCTCCAGACCCCTCAGCAGGTTGGGTGGAAGCAGCAGTACCCGCCACACTGCTGCCAGAAAGATTGGGAGGGACCATCGTCCTGAGTGGCAGGGCTGTTAGCCCCGGGACCCGCCCCCCCCAACCCCCGCCCTCCCTCCCGTCACCCGGGAAGCAGGAGTAGACAAAAGACTCCACAGCTCATGTTTCTCCAACACAACCTCTGGGCCAGCCTCACTCTGCCTCCTCACACGAGGCCACGCGGTGCTATCGTTATCCTTGTTGGGGAGGAACCAAGTCCCAGAGAGGTGTTGTTAACTGGCTCAGACCACCAGAGGAAGCAGGACTTGAACCCAGTGGGACTGACATGTTGCCGAGATCTTGAGATTTCAGGGCCTTAAGACTGATGACTAGAAGTGTATCAGCTATCTACTGCTGCATAACAAACATGCCCCAAACCTAAGAGTCTCAAAGCAACCACCAGCATGGGTCTGCTCACAACTCTGCAGTTTGGCAAGTCCAGGTGGGGACCCCTTGTCTCTGCTGGGTGTGGTGCAGCTGGGGCAGCCTGGCTGGCCTCCCTCATGTGTCTGGTGCTCCAGCGGGAGAGGCTCAACAGCTGGGGTCGGGGAAGGGGAGGCGGGACCTCTCTCCTCTGTCTTGGCTCTAGGGCTTCTCAGAGCAGAGTGGCCTCTCTCTAGGAAGGGAATCCAATCTCCTTACATGGCTTCTGGCTCCCAAGCTGAGAAAATGGGTGCTGCAGGGCTTCTTGAGGCCTAGGCCTGGAATGTTATCCCATTAGTCACAGCTAGTGGTACACAGGCCACCCAAATTCCAGGGAAGAGGAGTGGGTGGGTCTCACAGCCGAGTTACAGGGTTGGGAGCAATTGTTGGCAGCCATCTTGGCGGACTTACTTCCACCGAAAGGACTTGGCCTGAAAGCAACTGTTACCAGCTGACAGGTTCCTGTGTGGAAGAGGGTGGAAGAGAGAATGGTGATCCATGAGTATGCGGACAGGGGAGAGCCCAGGCTCACAGAGGGAGACAAGAAGGACAGGCTGGCTCTGGCCAGGTCCGAGGGGACCAAAGACCTCAGAGCCTTCTCTCTCCAGGCTTCTGGGTCTTTCCCCCACTACGCCCCAGTGGCCCTGCCCCTGAGGAGTGAGGCGGATGAGCCCCGGTGGGGAATGAGGCCAGGCCTGCTGGTCCTGTTGGTGACAACACTCTGCACCCTGCCCCGGCCCTGCTGGGGGTGTCCTCGCTGGCGGGGAGCAATGCTGTGGCCCTGCTTGCCACCTGCCACCCACCCCACCCTGCCCCTGGGCCTCTCTGATTCTGAGAAACTTTCTTCCAGGAGCTGTGGGCCCCACCCCAGCCTCACAGGTTTTGAGGAAGTGCTGTCCCCAGACAGTGACCATGCAAACCCTTCCCCCAGCACCAACCCCCCGAGGACCTCAGGAAGTGCACAGCGGCCGTGGAGTCAGTCCCGGCTCTGATGCTCATTTGCTCTAGGTTCTTGGGAAAGTTACCTCTCTGTGCCTCAGTTTCCTTATCTGAAAAATGGGGAGAAGAGAGGACAAAACATAACCAGGCCCTGTTCTCAGCACTTTACAAGCAGCTCATTTAACCCTCCCAACGACGCTATGTGGGCTGAGGGCAGGGGGCTCTGTTATTAGTCTCACTTTACAGATAAGGAGATGAAAGCACAGAGGAGTCAAGTAACTAGCCTGGGGTCACACAGTTACTCATCATTCTGGAGTCTACGCTGCATCCACTCCTGCAGTGTCTGCTCCCTATCTCCCCTTCTCTTCTTTTATTATGGTAAAATATACATAACAAGTCAAGGCTTTGGTTTTTCCAGTGGTCATGTATGGATGTGAGAGTTGGACTATAAAGAAAGCTGAGGACTGAAGAATTGATGCTTTTGAACTGTGGTGTTGGAGAAGACTCTTGAGAGTCCCTTGGACTGCAAGGAGATCCAACCAGTCCATCCTAAAGGAGATCAGTCCTGGGTGTTCACTGGAAGGACTGATGCTAAAGCTGAAACTCCAATACTTTGGCCACCTGATGCAAAGAACTGACTCATTTGAAAGGACCTGATGCTGGGAAAGATTAAAGGCAGGAGGAGAAGGGGATGGCAGACGATGAGATGGTTGGATGGCATCACCGACTCAATGGACATGGGTTTGGGTAGACTCCGGGAGTTGGTGATGGACAGGGAGGCCTGGGGTGCTGCAGTCCATGGGGTCGCAAAGAGTCGGACACGACTGAGCAACTGAAAGGAACTGAACCGATATATAACAAAACTTACCATTTTAACCATTTTCAGAAATATTTATTTTTGGCTGTGCTGGGTCTTTGCTGCTGTGAGTGGACTTTCTCTAGTTACATAGAGTGGGGGCTGCTCTCTGGTTGCTGTGCTCTGGCTTGTGGTTGCGGTGGCTTATCCTGTTGCAGCGCATGGGCTAGATCTCAGTAGTTGTGGTGCATGGTCTTAGTTGCCCTGCAGCACGTGAAGTCTTCCCAGACCAGAAATAGAACCCGTGTCCACTACATTGGCAGGCAGATTCTTAACCACTGGACCACTAGAGAAGTCCACATTAACCATTTTAAACTGCACAATTCAGCGGCATTAAGTACATTCACATTGTTGTACAACCATCACCACCATCCATCTCCAGGACTTTTTTCTTCTTCCCAAACTGAAACTACCCACTAAACAGTAACTGCCCATTTCCTGGCAACTACCATCCTGTGTCTATGAATTTGGCTCCTCATAGAACTGCAATCATATGCTGTTTGTCCTTTCAGGACTGGCTCATTTCACTTAAATGACTCAATGGACATGAGTTTGGGCAAACCCCGGGAAATGGTGAAGGACAGGGAAGCCTGGCCTGCTGCAGCCCATGGGATCACAAAGAGTCGGACACGACTGAGCGACTGAACAACATTTCACTTCAAGTTTCACTCATGTTGTAGAATCTGTCAGAGCTTTACTTCATTTTTTGGCCACATCTCATGGCTTTGGGATCTTAGTTTCCCAACCAGAGATGGAACTTGGGCCTTCAGTGTGAAAGTGGAGTCCTAACCACTAGACCGCCAGGGAATTCTCTAAGAATTTCCTTCTTTCTTAAGGCTGAATACTATTCCATGGCATACTTTCACCATGTTTTTGCTTATCCATTTATTCCTCAGTGGACACCTGAATTGCTTCTACATTTGGCTATTGTGATTAAAGAGGCTGTGAACATGGATGCGCAATGATCTGTTCAAGTCCCTGCTTTCCACCCTTTTGGGTACGTACCCAGAAGAAAAATTGCTGGGTCATAGGGTAATTCTCTCTGTAATTTTTTGAGGAGCTGTTGTGCTGTTTTCCACGGTAGCTACACCATTTTGCATTCCCACCAGCAAGGCATAAGGGTTTCTGATTCCTCCTTGCTTATCCAAGCAAGGCTTGTGAATCCAAGCCCAGGGAACATTGGCAGCCCCGCTGGCAGTAAGATGCTGTCAGAGATTGTCCAGCAGCTCCTATGTAAGGAGCGTGTGGGGTGGGGCAGCGATGCCAGCCCTTTGGGCAGGCACCAGGGGAGCCTGTCCTGCCAGCATCCTCACCCATGGATGCCAAGCCCTGGGTTCAGTCCGCTGGCTCTGACCTTTCCTGACCCTGCTCTGCCAGGCCGCCTTAGACCAGGGCAAAGGGCATGAGAGGGGCCAGCATGGGGGACACTGGCAGGCTTAAAGCCATGGCATAGTCAGACCCTGCCCTGCCACACCCCTCACTCTGTCATCCCCCTTCCCTGGCCTCAGTTACGTCTTCTGCTTTGTAGGGGCAAGCCTGAGAATCGACTTAGTGACCCAGGAGATGCCAGGCTCCCTTTAGGAATTCCCAAGACCAAGCCCCTCACTGGGCAGGTGAGACAAGGGGGGTGGCTATTCTAGAACCCTGGCTCCCAGCTCCCACCCTGGCTCTCTCCGCACCCTGCCCAGGCTGCTAGCATCTTCCAAGAGAGGTGAGGCCATCAGGTCCTTGAAAGTCTGGACTCACTGAAGGCTCTGGTCCCAGACTGAGGGTGGGTACTCTGCCCTCCAGGGAAGATGTCAGAAACAGAGCCTCTTCGGGTCCTCTTCCTGTCTCCTCACTGGTGTAATGGGATTAGACTGGGACTCAGTAGCCTTTAAAGGCTCTCCCATCTAGAAGATTCAATGACCCTAAACTTTCAGAAGAGGAAAGTCACTGAGGAGGGTGGCTGCAGTTTCTGGACCACATGCTTTTGCTAAATCGCTTCAGTCGTGTCCAACTCTTCAAGACCCCTATAGACTGTAGCCCACCAGGCTCCTCTGTCCATGGGATTCTCCAGGCCAGAATGCTGGAGTGGGTTGCCATGCTCTCCTCCAGGGGAACTTCCCCACCCAGGGATTGAACCTGCATCTCCTGCGGCTCCTGCTTTGCAGGTGGATTCTTTACTGCTGAGTCACCAGGGAAGCCCTTCTGGACAATAACCATCTACAAACTGTAGTAATGGCACTAGCTACGTTTTCTAAGCATTTTGACATGTATAAACTCATTCCATCCTTACAACAACCCTATGCAGAAAATACGAGTCTTATTCCTATTTTACAAAAGAGGAAACTGAACTGCAGGTAGCAGCTAGCAGGAAGTGTATAAGAGCGGCCAGAAACCTGACCACAAAAACAGGCCACATAAAGCTGAGGGTTAGCCTATCAGGGGAAGGAGAGGCCCTCGGGCTGTACTAGTCAGGTCATGTCTGGGGAAAGGCAGGGGCAAGTGGGAGAGAGGCCAGGATGGAAAGTTCTGGAAAACCTCCATTGGAGGAGCCGCTAAAGATCCTGGGAGGAGAAGTGGTACAGGGACTCTCCCCAGTTTCTGAAGGATGGAGGTGCCAGTGAAGAAGCTGCCTTACTCGGACCAATTCCCGGCAGTGAGATCTAGGATTTCTAATAGCTGAAGCTGTCCCACCGAAAAGAGTTGCCAAGGGAGACAGCGAGCGGCACGTCACAGGAGGCGTGTAAGCAGAGCCACGTGGGGCAAGGGTCAGAGGAGATGATCTTGAGGGTGAGGCTCAGTCGAGCCACATCTAGGCAGCCCCGGCAGCCTCACGGTACACTCGGGCTCAAGGTCAGCAGCTGAGCCCCGGTGCTGACTCAGGTCCCCAGGTGGAGCACCAGCCCCGCCCGGGGCCTTTTCTGTGGCCAACCCACAGACATATTTCTGGGTGAATTTTTCTCTTCTTCCACTCCCACCCAGCAGCCCAGCTCCAGCTGGACAGCCTGGGCTCCCCACAGCACCCACATCATTTACATTTTTGGTCATCAAAAGGACCAGAGAACCTGCTGCCCCAAAGGACCCCTGAGACCCCGCAAGGACCACCTGTGGGCTCGGGGCGTATAGGTTCAGACAGGGACAACAGTCTGGATGTCCAGAGTCGCCTTCCAGGTTGGGGAGAGGTGACGGAGGGGGTGTGGGCCAGCTGGTGGCCCAGCAGCTGTGAGGCTGGGATCTCACTGATGGGCCCCAGGAGCGGAAGCTGCCGTCGGGTGGACAGGCCGTGAGTCAGCAAGGCGGGCTGTTGCCCCCACCTCTGGAGTTTCGAGGCACCTTTGCCAGGGTAGGTGCTGGGGGCGTGGATGGGAGCAGCAGCTGCAGGCTGGAGCGGGCTCCAGGTGGGCCCAGCCTGGTCCTGCCCTCCCAGCTGAGGCTGGAAGGAATGTTGTCATGTGAGGTTGTGGGGAGTGCCCAGTAGGGTTTTGAGGGTTTCAGGGCGCGTGGCCTCTGTGAGTGTACAAGGGTTGTGTCCGTGGGTCTCTGGGTCCGAGGCTGAGTGTGTATGTGAAAGCGGCACTAGGGTGGGGAACCTCCTGGTGGGCATGCCGTGCTCCCTGCATGTGCCAGGCAGAAGCACGCAGGTGTGGTTGTGTAGAGGTAGGACCACTGATATGACCCAGCCCAGGGCCTCACTCCAGCAGGCCACCCTCCTGGGCTGCCATATGCCACAGGGGGTGTCACTAGCTCAGCCAGTGACTTAGCCCAGTGTTCAGCATCTCTGGTGTCTTTGGAGCTTGTGGAGACCCTTGGGCTGACTCTCTCCCCGCGTGTCCCCTGCACACTTTCTGGCTGTAACTAGTCCCTTCCCTGTCCATCCTTGTCCTGGAGGCTCATCTCCAAATCTGCCCCAGCCTTCGAGGCCTGGCTGAGATGCTGCCTCTAACCTTCCCAGCCCCCAGGGCCTGCAGCTGTCTCCTGCTGTGTTTCCGTCTGGACCTTGGCACCCCACTGGCCCAGCTTCTCCTAGGGGCAGGGATGAGTCTGACTGCTCTAGCCCAGGGCCTGACGTATAGTAGGTGCTCAATCTATGAACGGTGTAACCTTGCCCTCCCCCTGCCCCATGTGCTCTCTGGATGGGGTCAGCTGTGAGGATGAGAGGACTCGGGGAGGGACTCCAGGGGAGGACTCCCCTGGTCACTGGAGCCCTGGCTCTGAGCTTGAGTCCTGGATCTGCCCTTAGCTGTCAGGGGAGGGGGGCACTCTGTCAATCAGTTTTCTCACTGGGGTATGCAGTGTGCGAGGCTTGGAGGCCTCCAGGGAAGGCAAACGTGATGGTGGAGAGGGAATGGGCTCCTGAGTTTCTAGGAGAGGTTGCCAGGATCCAGCTAAGTGTGCGGTTCATGGCACAAGACGTGACTGGGCTGCTGGATCATGTCGGTTTACAACCACACAGCAAGCAGCCTTGGCCCCAGTGGGGTGATTCTTTCAGTCCGAAGGTCTTCCCTTACCCAGAAGGCTGGCACTTCTCTCTCGGCTCCCAGCAGTCTTCAAGCCCCACACAAAAGACACTTGGAGATGACCCATGTGTGCATGCTCAGTCACGTCCTACTCTTTTCTGACCCCACGGACTGTAGCCCGCCGGACTCTTCTGTCCATGGGATTTTCCAGGCAAGAATACTGGATTGGGTTGTCATTTCCTCCCCAGGGAATCTTCCCCACCCAGGGATCAAACCCACGTCTCTTGTGTCTCCTGCTTTGCAGACAGGTTCTTTACCAACGGCGCCACCTGGGAAACTTGAGGGGTGACCCTCAAACACACATGGTGGGGGGTGGAAGGGAGGCTTCCTTCCTATGAACAGAGATTACCAAGCAGCTGCTATGTGCCAGGCTTGTGGGTACTGAAGAAACAACAGTGGGGTCAGGACAAACATCACTGCCCTGCTAAGGGTTATGTCTAGTCAGGCAGACAAGCAAGAGGACAAGACACAGGAAATTACCTAGTGTGTTGAAGGTGAAAAGTTCTAAGAAAAAAGAAGAGAAGGCAGAGTGATCAGGAAGCCTGCACCTAAACAAACAGGGTGCTTGGGGAGGCCCTGAGTTTGCACTGAGACTCGGAGGAGGAGGAGCCACGTGGTACCTGGGGAAGAGCATCCGGAGGAGAGAACTCCGGAGGGGAGAACAGCCCGCCTCAAGGAGGCAGATGAGCTCAGGGAGCATGCAGGGGGATGGGGCGAGGGCTGGGGGGCAGCAGGACAGCCCAGGCGGCCCGTGTGGCTCCTGAAGGGCGCTGGGTGAGATGGGAGCCACAGCAGGATTTGAGCAGTGGGTCTGCCTTGTTGCTTTCTAGAAACATACTGACCGCTCTATAGGGCAGCAGCAGACGCACCAGGGGCACAGCTATGGCAAGCATGCCAGTGAAGGACTTCCTTGATGGTCTCGTGGTTTAGATTCTGTGCTTTCACTTCGGGGATGCACAGGGTCGATCCCTGGTTGGGGACCTGGGAGCAGCTAAAAATAAATAAATAAAGCAACAATGGCTTTTTAAAACAAAAAAGTATTAGGGTGAGAGCCATGGAGGGGTGAGAGGGCAACTGGGGAGCCCACAGGACCCTCTGCTGTGGGAGGAGCATGGGAGAGTTGGGGCAGGGGCCTCTGAAAGGCCAGGGGTGCCCAGGAGTCCCTCGGCTGGTCCCCAATCCTTTGAGGACCCAATAACAGCCATGGGCCTGCTCCCACAAAAGCACACAGGTGTGCATGCACACGTCCACACGCCACACATGCTCATACACATTCACACGCACAAGCACAAAATCACATCCATGTGCAAGTATACTCATACCCATGTTTGCCCACATATGTGCACACTCACAAACACACACCATGCCACAGGAAATTTTAGGAGATTCCTGGACCCCCTGACCTCCCAGGTAATGGACTCCTGTCTAATCTATCCCCTCCGCTTGACAAGTAGGGAAACAGGTTTGCAGAGAGAAAGGGGACTTACCCAAAGTCACCCAGGCAGAGAGGGTCTGACCAGCAGCATTTGGCCCAGACAAGACTAGACTCCCAGCCGTGGGGCTCTCTGTCCCCCTGTACTGAGCAGGGTGACCCATCTCATTTTTATGCCCTAAGAGCTCACCAGGAGGTCAGTCAGGGAGGTCAGAATGTCAGACAAGAAGCGCTGAGGGTCCTAAGAGGGCCTGGACACCTGTAGCAGGCCATGAAGGTGAACTTCAGGAAGGGGAAGTCAGAGAAGATTCCATGGAGAGGAGGTATTTGTAACCTCACCCTGGAGGACTGGATGGGTGGAATAAATACTTAGAGATGAGGCTGGGGAGGGCATTGCAGGCAGAGTCTGGTAGCACCAGAGGCCTTGGGGTGGAAACTCTCTAAATCAGGCATGAACAAGGCCTCTGGGAACCAGAGTGGCTTTCAGGGTTAAGGGTTACGTGGGTTGGGTCTTGAAGGATGAGTAGGAGTTTTTTCAGAAAGGCTCTCTGGGCAGGACTATTATATGCCAAAGCGCAGAGACAAGGAAGGCTGGAGAAACTGCAAGCATTTCAGAGAGCTGCTTGCTGTGTGCTTGGGGGGTGGGCTTGGTAATGAATGAATGGATGGAGTGCATGTAGGGGAGGGTAAGAGAGCCAGTCTGGTGACTTCATGTGGCAGGTGATGAGGAAGGAAGGGGAATGACATCCTGCTGCTGCTGCTAACCCACATGCTCTCAGGCGGCCACCTCATGCCCATTACACAGATGAATAAGCTGAAGCTTCTTTTTTCTTTGGCTGCACCACTGTGAGGCTTGAAGGATCAGTCCCAACCATTGGACAGCCAGGGAATTCCCTAAGCCATAGCTTTGAGCCAGCTCACACTGCCTATGGCATCACCAGGCTCCTGGCCCCTGAGGAGCCTTGGCAGGGCAGGTGTTTGGCCCTCATTACGGCTTAGGGGACTCCTCACCTGGAGACCCAGGGCCAAGTGAAGGAGGCGGGGAGTATAGCTTCCACCGGTCAGGTAGCAGCTGCCAAAAGGGATAACAGACCTAGCAATTGTTCCCAGAACCAAACAGGCCCCAGGTGAAAGGGGACAGCAGATCTGTAAGGGGACACCTGTCTTGGGGTGGATAATCTTGTATCCGGACCTCTCTCAGCTCCAGGCTCCCACAGCCTCCTTGTCAGGTGGCCTGGCCCCAGGGGAGGGGTGGGGAGGGAAGAGCACTTACCAAGCCTCTGCCTCCCCACGCCGCCTTTGATGGCATGGAGATGGGCCAGGAAGTGAGCAAAGGGGAGGGAGAGGATGGAACTCTCGCTGCTGACTGGGCAGGGATCATTCCCATTTTCTGGATGAGGAAATGGAGGCTTAGTGCAGTGACATGAGTATAACAGGTAGAGGAGCTGATTAGAACCCAGGTCTCTTTTATTTATTTGGCTGCACTAGGTCTTAGTTGCAGCGTGTGGGATCTTTGATATTCATTGCAGCATGCATAATCTTTTTTATTTATTTATTTTTGGTTGTGCTTGGGTTAGTTGCTGCATGTGGGCTTTCTCCAATTGCGGCAAGCAGGGGCTACTCTTGGTTGTGCGGGCTTCTCACTGTGGTGGCATCTCTTGTTTCGGATCATGCTTTGGTAGTTGTGGCTCCGAGGCTCTAGAGCACAGGCTCAATAGTTGTGGTGCATGAGCTTAGCTGCCCCACGACATGTGGGAATCTTCCTGCACCAGGGATTGAACCTGTGTTTCCTGCATTGGCAGGCGGATTCTTTACCACTGAGACATCAGGGAAGCCCCTCTGAGGGGCCTTATGAAGGAAACTTCCTTATTCCCATTTTACAGATGAGGAAACTGAGGTTTAAGTCACTGACACAAAAACTCAGACTGAAGCCAGATGTCTCTGGTTCCTGAACCCAGTTACCACCACGCAGTGACCTGCCCACACCCTTATCTCTCACTCGGCCCCACGGGGAGGGCCTAGGGGCTCAATGATAGATGATCACATCTATTTTGCACATCGTTAAAAAAAAAACCAAAAAGGAGTCAAGCTACAAGTGTGATGAATTAGTTTTTAGGTCACAGCAAAATGGCTTCACATCAAATGAGCTGCATCAAAATAAAAAGTGTCACAAGGGTAAAATCCTTACATAGACGGGATCTGGGAGGCCTGGGCTGGGGCTAGGAAGCTTCCTTTCCACTGGCCACCCTTCAATAATTTTCAGATTTGCATGTGTGAAATTATTCTCTACCCATCCAAATCAATTAAACGATTTCAAAGGACAAAAGTCATATTTGTGGCTCAGGCCTTGATTTGGAATTGTTGGGCTCGTGGTCTTGTGGGGTGCCAGCTCTTGTCAGAGGCAGAAAGAGCACACATTAGGTGACAGATGAAGGCCATGGGCCACCCACCAGGAGCATCCTGGCAAAGAGAGCGAAGACTGAGAAAGCCCCATAAACCTGAACTTGAGCCTGGGGCATGTCACTTCACCTCCTCCCCTTTGCTGGGAGCTGTGGAAAGTGAGGGATGTGATATTTTGTGCCCAGCTTGGTGCTGGGCCAGCATCCAGGTTTCTGGATAAGTTCACTGGGGGAGCCAGACCTGCAACAGAGCTTCTCTTTTGGGCCGAGGGATGCCCACAGTGCTGCAGGAGGCCGTGGGAGAAGATTCTCCTGGGGAACATGGCTGGGCAAGGAAAAGTGTCTCTGAGAGGGTCCTTTCCACATGGCAGGAATCCCCAGGCAGAAATGGAGTGATGGCCACGGCAAGGTGGAGGTGAGTGTGTGTAAGCAGTAGTGAGGGTTCTGTAGGGGTGGAGCGACAAGGGCGGAGAGTGTGCTAGCAAGGCAGGTTGGGGAGAAGCAGAGGCTGACTTTTTTTTTTTTTTAATTACTTAGTTGTCACTTGTTGCAATGTACTTTATTTATTTATTTGACTGCGCCTGGTCTCAGTTGCAGCATGTGGGATCTTCAGTTGCAGCATGAGAACTCATTTGTGAAATGTGGAATCTAGTTCCCTGACCTGGAATTGAACCTTGGCCCCCTGCGTTGGGAAAGCAGAGTCTTAGCCAATGAACCAACAGAGAAGTCTCAAGACATATATTCAGGGTAGAATAGTTGAGATCTGGGTGTGGAGGGGGGAAGGGTAGTGACAGAGTAACTCAAGCAGGTGAGTCATGGAGATAATACATAAGGCATAGTATGGCTTCCCTGACGGCTCAGCGGGTAAAGAATCTGCCTGCAGTGCAGGAGACACAGGAGACTTGCGTTTGATCTCTGGGCAGGAAGAGCCCCTGGAGGAGGGCATGGTGACCCACTCCACTATTCTTGCTGGGAAATCTGAAGGACAGAGGAGCCTGGTTACAGTCCACCGGGCAAGAAGAGTTAGACAAGACTGATCGACTAAAGTTCTTTTTTTTTTTTTAAGAGTAGTGCCAGCTAGGAATGGTTTTTACATTTCCAATTGGTTGGGGGAAAAAAATCAAAAGAATAATGGTTTACCTTGAGTGTCCCTAAATAAAGTTTTCTTAGAACACAGCCGTATACTCATTCCTGTACACAATATCTGTGGTTGATTTTAAGCCACAGTGGCAGAGTAGAGTAGTTGAGGCAGAGACCTTGTGAGCAACAAAGCCTAAAATATTTACTATATCGCCCTTACAGACAACAGTTTGCTCATTTGGGGCTTAGAGGGAACTAACCGGCAGAGGTGAACAGCAGCCAGTCTAGGTCACGAAGGCCTCCTTTTCTGCCTAAGAGCAAGTGGGAGCCATGAGGAGTGTCTCCCGCTCAGATAAACGTTGGAGAAGGCGGACTCTGGCTGCTCAGCAAGGATAGACAAAGGTGGGCGAGCAGCACCTGAACCAGGAAGACCCGCAGGAGAGGGCTCCGAAGGCCCTTGGGGCTGCTCTCGAGAACCTTGTGGGCACCTAGCCTCCCGGTGCCTTGGCCGCGGGTCCACAGCAATGCTGCCGCATACCCGGACCCGCTTACACACCTAGGCGGAAGTGATTGCTAGGGGGGCTCACGTGAGCGGAAGCCGGAAGCCCACGGCCCTGGAATGGCGGGAAGCACGTGGAGGCCACCTCAAGCCCCGTACAAAGGCAAGAGGAGCCAAGGTGTGAGATGGTGGGCGCTTGGAGAACCGCTGCTGGTTGTGCAGCAGAAGAGCAGATGCAGGAGGTGGGCAGGACCGTTGGGCTTTGAGTGCCCGCTGAGGGGGACGGGATGGGGGTGGGGAGCAAAGGTCTTCACCGGGAGTCAGTGGGCCAGGCCTGGAATAGAGGAAGCACGCAGTTGCATTGGCCATATGCCTGGATGGAGGGGGTCAGAAGGATACAGGCGGGCTAAGGCCCAAGGTCCACAGTCCAGTGTACATCGGCGATCTTCACAAACACACAGACATGTGTAGAAGCGGTCACAGGCCCTCAGCGATACACGCACCACAATACCAGGCCCTTTGCACACGGTCACAGCTGCGTGTACACATCATCGCAGCCACCCAGGACCAGGCACACACAGAAGACCTAGAGGCCTCTCTGCATGGTCACGGATGTGTGCACACAAACAGATCCAGGTACACGCAGGCACAGTGGCTGAGGTCCACGCCCATGTACACACAGGAACAGACTCGGGTACACGCCGCAGGTCACCCAGAGCTATATATACGGCAAAACAGACACATGCATACACGCGCAACAGAATCGGACACGCAGACGTATGCACATGCTAGACACGCACACACTCTGACCCGCTCCGCTTCTCATCTCATACACACACACACACCCGCACAGGACGCACCGGGCCGTGGGTCGGCGCACGCACGGTCACAGGCAGGGTCGCGCGCGCCCGGGCGCGCGCGCGCGCGCACACACACACACACACACACACACACACACATTTGATCGCACACGCGGGAGGCGCAGAGCAGCGGCGGCCGGAGACTGCGGTCCTAGGCGTCCCCGGCCCCGCGCGGCGAGCGGAGCCGGGCTGGCGGCTGAGGGAAGGGGGCGCCGGTGGGGGCGGGGCGGGGGCCGGAGCCGCCGGAGCCGGGCGGGAGCGGCACCTCTGCGCGCAGCGCTCGGGCCTCGCCTCTGCATCCCCCGCCTGCCTCCGGTGGGGCCCTCCCCCGCCGGGGTCCGCTCGCCGGGTCCCCGCCGCGGCCCCCGGGTGCAGACAGGCGGCCGCGCCGAGCCCGTGGGACGGGTTGGAGGTGGGGGCGGGGGCGGCGGGGCGGGGATCGGGGCCGGGCCGGGGCCGCGCTGCCTGCGATGCCGGGCGCCCGCCGCAGTCGCCGCCGCCGGAGCCCGGGATGGGGCGAGAGGTTGCGGCGGACGCCAGCATCTCCCCGCCGGGGGCCCCGGGGGCCGCGGAGCCGCCGCCGCCGCTGCTGCTGCCGCCGCTGCTGAGACCCGGCGGGCGATGGGTGAGTTGACCCTGGCGTCCTGGGGGCCCGCGTTGCAGCCCCCCGCATCCCGGCTCTCCCGGCCCTGCGTCTCCTCCTCCGCGCTCGCTGCGCCCCCCGCCCCCGTCACAGCTCCCACAGCCCCCCTCCCCGAGCGTGACCTTTGGGGGCGGAGGCGGGAGCACTAGGCTGGGGGGTCTGGGTGGGGGCCGAGATGGGGGGCGGATGCTAGGGCGGCTACTCAGCTCTGGCACCCCCTCCCCCAACCCGGCTGCTCAGCTGAGCTTTCTGTGGCGGGGGAGGGCAAAGCCTCATTCCCTCGACCCCCCCTACCCCTACCCCCGGCCTGGGCAGGGTGCGTCCCCGAGGCTCCGGGTTTGAGTTAGGCTTTGTGCACCGCGCCCCCGGCAAACCTCCCGCGCGCCGCGAGGCTGGGGGTGGGAGGCCTCGGCTCCCGCCTTCCCCTACCCCCGACCCCGGGCTGCGGCGCGGCGGCGGCCGAGGCCCTGGCGCTGTCGGGGTGCTGAGCAGATGCGGAGGCCGGGATCAGACCGAGGGAGGTGGAGAAAGAACCCCAACCCTTTCTGGTGGGGGGGCTCCCGCTCTTTCCACCGCATGCCCAGGGCGGGGGAGGGAATCTGGCTGGGGGAGGGTGCTATAAATATCTGCAAATAGTGAGTTCTGGAACCGGGGGTGGGGAGGGGACTGCACCTGGGTTGTACTGGGGGGGGGGGGGGCGGTGCCTGAGCTAGGGGGCCAGAGAGGCAGAGATGGGTCTCAGCCAGCCCTGGTGACCTGAGGTTGGGTGACTCTCTTTAGGCTCCAGGAGACTTCCTAGAAGTGGGCAGGACCACTGCCCCACTGAGCTCTCTCTCTGGTCCCCCAGCCTGGGCTCTCTCTGGGTCCACATAGCACTCCACTCCTGGGCCACCAGCCCAGATCTGCCTCGGTGGGGAAGACTTGTGTCACCTCCAGGGCAGTTACTAAAAATCCAGGCGATGGGCCAAGCCTGGGGATGGAAGGAAGAGCAAGACAAGTTCCTCCCCCCACCCCACCCCATTTCCCCCAGTGCCCCACCAGGAGGAGCTGGCCATTCTGCAGTGTTATCAGTGTTTCTGCCAGCTGAAGGGATAGACACAGGGTCCTGGGAAAGTTTGAAAAGGGGCCCTCAGCCCCCTCTCCCTTTGGGGGAGAGGGAACTTGCTGGAAGACATAAAAGGAAGCTGGAAGGGTTTGCTTGGGAGAGATAGTGGGAAGGGTATTCTGGGCGGAGGGATGGATAAGGCAAGGCTCCAAGATGTGCTGAGTGTGCTGAGAGCTGGAGGTGGGGGACAGCCAAAGCCCTGTTGGGAGCCACCATGAGAAGCCACTGAAGAGAGGGGAGCCGAAGCTGGAGGAAAGGAAGGCCAGGTGGAGGCGAGGTGGTGGGCCACCCCAGGAAGCTGGCGTGAGGACAGCAAGGAGACCGGCTGGGATGGCACCGGCGGGCCCAGCTGACCCCCTTCTGCGGGTCTGCCCAGCGCCCTTAATGTGCTCAGGGTCACTTGACCCACATTGCTGATCACTTTCACTGAGATAGCCGGACCACCTTGGCCAGACAGCCTTCTGAACCTCAGTTTCCATGTCTGACAAATGGGGAGATTCCTTCACTCAGTTGTGGTGAGGACTGCATGAGATGCTGCGTCTACATGAACAGGTACACCCAGCACCTGAGACACACCTAGGAAATGGCTGGCAGCTCCATGGGTATTTTTACCTGTGAAACAGGGACACTGATTCCAGCTGGCAGGCCATGTCCACTTGATGGTGAGGATTCTGTGAGGGCTGGCTGTGACCAGGAGGAAGCTGAGGCTTGGGGGAGCTGAGTGTCACTGTCTTCCTTCTCGGAGGAGACAAAAGTAGCGGTGAAGAGTGACCCGGGCAGGGTAGTCTGCACGGACAGCCTCCTCTTGCCTGTGTAGACACCCACCACCTTCTGGCCCCCAGCCATGTCAGTCAGGGGACTCTGCTCTGCTCCCCAAGGCCAATTTTTGTTCCCCAGGCCGGCGCATGGTGCACCCCTTCCCAGCCAGCTCTCTAGTCTACCACATGGGAACAGGGCTCCCTTCCAGAAGTTTCTTCAGATGTTCTGGCCAGCAAGCATGATATCCTCCTGCGAGGGGCACTTTTCTGGGCAGCCCGGTGGAGAGGACACAGGCCTTGCCCGCCAGAGATTCGAATCAAATTGGGTAGCAGGTACCCCTGGACACGTGGGCACAGATATCCACGGTCTGCCTAGCTCTGTGCTGGCAGCTTGCAGGTAGGGAACAGTCTCAATAACTGTGCCATGAGGCAGTCAAGTGCAGAAAGAGCAAAGATTCTAGATCCAGTGGCCCAGGTTCCAATTCTGATCCTGTCACTTCTTACCACGTGACAGTAGACTCTGCCTCTCTGTGCCTCAGTTTCCATATCTCTAAAATGGGGAAGACCCACACTATCGCTATTTGAAGAGCTTTGTTCAGTTTCCAGTGGGCTTTCGCTGCCCCCCTTCTAGAATGAGTCTCCCTGTTCGCCCAGCCTGCCACAGTAGATGTGTGGTCCACTTTCCTGTTGTCTTCCCCTCTGTCTGTGAATCCCTGTGGGCTGGGTCCTGCCTCTCTATACCCATTGCTTGGGCAGGGGGCAGTGGTCTGCTGGCTCGCCAATCAGCAGTGGTGGCCAGTTTCTGTAGTGGAAATCTTCCCAGCAGGACTGATTTCGAGCTGCCAACAGTTTAACAGTCTCACAGTGGGAGCCGGTACAGCACCCAGGCGTTCGGTAGGTGCTTAATAAATAACAGTAGAACAAGGAGGAAAGTTCCCAGGAGCTGTTGGTCAGATAGACTTGAGGAGCGGCCATGTGATACTGTAGCTGCAGGGGGCTTGTTGGAGGGCACTGGATAGGCTGAGAGTGGGGTGAGAGATTACCCTGAATAAGCATCCACAGGGAGGAGGGCAGAGGGAATGGTCGGTATTCTCCTTCCCTCCACACCTCTGACCCTGCCTCTCTCCTCTCTAACCCCTTCTCCTCCCAGGGGCCCCCGTTGACCTTGGCCTGGGCCTTAGCATAGAATGGCCCCATGCTTTAGCCCAACAGAGCTCTGAGATGTGGTCCACACAGGCCCCAAACCTCAGATTCTATTCCTTTGCTTATGCTGTTCTCACTACCTGAATGTCTGTTCCTCCTTCTGTCCCCCGGCGCTCTGTTACTCACTAGAAGCCTCCACGTGATGCCAGCATGTTTGTTATTGTGTGATCCTGACAGACAGTGAGCTCCATGGACCTACAGGAGCACAAATGAATGAGTGAATGAGTGAGTGAATGAATGAATGTGTGATTATCAGCCCAAGGGAGCATCCTTCCTCTTCCTTCCACCTATTCCTCCTCCGTCTCCATCCCTGATCGAGGACACTGAACCTCCAGTGGACAGCCTCACTTGCAGCAGAACGGTCACAGGGACCTTGCTTGTCCCCATCTCCCAGAAGGGGAAAGAGGCTTCAGGAAGGGGTGAGAACTTCCCAAGGGCTGGAAGCAGGCCTGAGGGGGTGGAAGGGTAATGGACCACTCTCACATGGTCTAGAGTGGACTGACAAGGGGCCCACAGCCTTGGTCGTAATCCAGAAAGTTAACAGGGAACACTTTTCCTTGCATTGCTGAAATTCCCCTGTTGGCTTACTTATTTTCATCTATTCTATAAAAATAAAATCGGAACAATAGGAATCATTCACACACCTAATTACTCTGTTGTCTTATGAGTTTAGAGCTTATTTGGCTAAGACTTTGGTTCCCACTGAAGTGGGAATCCCGGGGGTGGGCTGGGGTGGGGTACGGGGTGAAGGCCAGGACAGAAGGTAGGAGTCTGTGCTGATGCTGGGGTCTCCTGAGGGCCCGGCCTCTGGCTACCCCTCTAGGCAGGCCAGGAATTTCCCGGAAGGAGCAGGCCAGGCGGTCTGAGGTCTGAGCTAGGGAGGGTGGCCAGAGGCCGTCTCTGAGATTCTGGATGCCAGAGACCCGAGATGGAGGACTTTCCAGTCATAATAATTTGCAGCTCTTTATCGAGCACTTACTACGTGCTGGGCGCTGGGCCAAAGCACTTTGTCTGCATTATCTCAGAGACACCTCCTAACTTCCCACAAGGTAGGTACTATTATTATCCCATTTGGCAATTCGAAGGGGCTGGGGACCCAGGGCTGGGAAGTGGCAGGGCTGGGATCCATCATATCCAGCCTGTAGGTCCCCAGCCTGTAGGATGGGGCTGCCTGTCCAGGCCCTTCCATCACCCAGAGATGACTGCTCTCTGCGGCTTGGACGCCTTGGACTGCCGCCTCACTCCACCCCGCCCTCCAGGCCACCCTCTTGGGGGCCCTGGGGCTGCCTGCTTCCTGCTCATAGGCCTGGGACCCTGCCTCAGGAGGGCCCGCTCAGCCTTGCCTGGGCACCAGGGGGATAGTATGGATTTTCCAGGCTCCCCGCCCTGCCCCACCAAGTCAGAATCCCACCCTGGGAGGGAGGGCTAGAAATCTATAGTTTTGCATCCCCTGGGGATTCTAAGGCCTGTGGACTTCAGGAACCACAGCTTGGCCCCGTGAATTCCATGCTGCCTCACGAGACCCCTTCAGCCTCTGTGACTCAGCTGCTTCCTGCGTTCTCTCTGCCCCCACCCCCAGCTCTGCAACAACCACACTGTCCCACCCCTCCCGCCCCTCCCTTCCCAAGCCCATTGCTTTTATCTCAGCACCTGCTGCCCCCACCTCCTCCAGGGAACAGGTCCCGGGCCGGGACCTGTATGGACCCCCCAGAGTCCACACTTAGCACTTTAGACAAGCCCCTCATGGCTGCCCTCCTCTTGTACTGGGGGCCTGGCACACGGTCTGGCTGAATCGAGGTGACTGGGGAAGAAGGACCAGGTGGGGAGCTACCCATTAAGTGGGGGCACTGGCTCCTGGGCTGGGCACACAGGCACTCTCTGGGGGGCTGGCACCGTGCCTCACACGAGGAGGCACTTGAGAAGTATTTAAGTATCTGCTGAATGGTAATTCTGAGAGTGGAGGGTGAGGGCCACTTCCGGAAACAAGGCAGATTAGCCAGTGTAGGTGAATGATGGAGAAGGTGCCTTCCCGACCATCACCTGGGACTGTGCATGT